AACCCCCCCCCAAAAAAAAAAAAAAAAAAAAAAATTGGTCTTCATCGAAATCGCCCCCCGTTACCCAAAATTGTCCGCCAAACTTCCGACTATTTCTACTCTAGAGTCTCTGCCAGTCTCTCCGGTCGTTGCTGGTTATGCCGTTCCCTCATTGCGCTTTGTCTTCAGAAAGTGGCGAATTTGAAATATAACTGTAATTCACCACCTGCCGTCGCATGCCTTTGGCATCGGTGTACTGCCGCCAATATATGGAAAATAGCATCCTTGTTCTCAGTAAACATCCCTACAGAAAAGCATACTGGTGCATAGGAGGCAAACGCTGAGAGCTAGAAGCTGAAAGCTCAAAGATACACTGATGGGGGAAGTTTCATTACACGTGCCGCCCCTCTGTCTTGTTCTCAACTCGAGCTTGTGCTGGCGTAGGCCACTACCCCGCTCATGAAGCAGTTGCCAACTCCGCCTCCCCCATCCGCTGAAATAACGCCTTGTCCAGCTACACCGGAGTGTGTCTCTAACGTTGCAGCGTGAATGCAACTCGATCCCTCACCTGTTACCATGATTCAGGCATTTCGACTATGGTGCAGCTGTCTCCAATGCCGATTCACCGGCATGAGCAGTTCGTGATGTGACCAGTGCAGAATGTCCACAAGCAGTGAAAAAGAACATTGAATGCCTATCTGTGTGCCGCAGCAGCTCTAGAGAAATCCAAGCCTGCCATGACATAAGTCCCACTGTTGGCTCTCCGCCCTGTAGGCAACACCTTCTGATTTCAGTATGCAGCACACGTGGTGCTAAATCCAACCTCGTTTTCATCAGCCTTGTTGCTTATGCAAGAGTTGGAATTAGCAGGCTGCCAGGGCACTAACTGCTGCTTGTAGTCAGTGAATATGCTCTTCCCCTTCCATTGCCTGCCAGTGGCCGCTCCAATCCCCGAGTTCACACTGCACAACAACTTGCCGTCAACACTCATTATGCATGACCCCACCTTGCAACTGCATCACAGTGAGTGGCAACGCAATCGGGGAAAACGAGCCCGCGACGCGAACAAATGAAACCCAAACTTCGCTCTTGTAAGATATAGGACCCCCATGAAGCGTAAGAAAATGGGCCACATATCAGGAGTTTGCTGGTAATTCTGCACAAAAGCTGACTACGTCTAACTGAGCGCTGCCCACAAAATGAGTCAAGGCATGCCATTTAGTGCAGATGTTCCATCCGAGAAGTATTGGGCACCCTATCTGGCAGATTTGCTTGTAACCGTTCCAGTAGAGGGACGCATTTCTATCCATTCAATATTGTTCTCGTGAATTTCGCAGCCTCCAGATTCTGTCCTTCCTCCAACAAAATGCTGAAGGTACAAGTAGTATAGCAGGTCCCCTGTTCGCGCTCATTGCCCCCCTGAAGCTGGAGCAGCTCTTGAGGCAGCAGTCCTTTTAAGTCTTGACAACCATGCTAAATCGTCTTCTCTCCACATGTCATATTCACGTCTTCGAAACAGTAATGGACTGTTCTTTTTACAGAAAGTAGATCGCTTCAGCAAAACCACAGCACGAGCTGAAGGACGCCTACCTGCTCGATAAACAGACAGCGCTGAAAGCAACTTCGTAACGAAGACGTCGCGACTATTTCTATTGAACCTCGAAGACATAGTTAGTTCGGGAAGATCTAATAATCTATCCATTAGCCAATCCCACCACCTCGCCATCTCCATTGGAGGGCCAACCACGTGGCATATGCTCCACAAGGCATCTGCAATAAGAAATCGCCGGGCCAGAGACTCTTGTATGTGGCATGTTCTGATTTTTTTCCGTTTAAACCTGCCCATGGAAACCACACTTCTGATCAGATCACAGGCCAGTACCCTGAGGTGTTGGAGTTCTGCACGTGCCAGTGTTGGCTTGAGCAGCAACCAACGAACCGGCAACAGTACTTGAGAAAGCCGTTTACGAGAAGCATTACAAATAGTCGTCTGCCAGTCAAAGAATCCTGTGGGCAACGTTTCAATGACGACTGGAAGGCGGTAGAATGCGTGTTGGGCGTATTGCATTTCATCCAACGGACCACCGGTGGGTGGATGACGGCTTTCTGAACCTGCAGGGCCCTTCAGGACGCAACCAGATGCATAAACAAAATCTCCCGAATACTTACTACATACGGCACTACAGCTAAGAAAGTACGAACACGACTGCACCCCCGCATGACCTCTACCTCTCAAAATTCTGCACGCATGCAGTTACAAAACCTGCGGGTTATAGCGCCGCAATATCAAGTACGACTCAACCTTGGTAACATAACGAAATTGAGGGAATAATCCGTGTTAAGTGTAAACTTCGCAGCAAATTCATCATCACGCAGTGTGGCACAAACAAGCCAGCAACCCTTAGGTCGTAGTCATAGTGATGAAAAAGAAATAAAGAGCCACTGCGCAGCGCAACAGCCAGACGAGCATAAAATATATTGGGTTCTTATAATGCATTTATTTCGTTTCGGAGACGGCTGCAACTCACGTCCGTATGTGTTGGCGGCAGCCCCAGCTGACCACCTTCTCCAAGCGGCCTCCTAGCCACTGAAAACCGAGGCCGGCCGAGAATGATCATGGGAATTCCAGAGGTGGACAGCAGGCGTACCTGAGCAAGCAAAAGGAGCAAAGGTTAGCTCAGTACAGCTGGGTATACCAGATATGCACAACTAAATCGTAGGCGAAGAAGCACTCGTTGCATTCATATCTAAAACAACAGGCACAAATTCCTTCCACGCCAAACTAAACACAGGAAAAAATATCTATATTTCGCGGTGACACCACGTTAAAAGCGGCAGCCACAACTGCAGCACAAATGCTGGCAAATTTTCGATGCGAGAGCCTCCCCTAGGTTCTATGCTAACGAGCTATCTGATGCACCAGCACACACTGTCTGTGAGTCTGTCTGCTGCAAACCTCTTGCTCCTGCGCTCCTACAACGAACCCCTCCTCGGCAACGCCACCAAGCATTCCAGAAGTGGAGGGCGTCGGTACCTGACCAAGAAAAAGGCGCAAACGTAAGCTCCATGCAGCTAGCTTCACCAGATATAGACAACTACATCACACCAGCAGTTGACCTTGCTGCATACGCAGCTAAAGCAACGAACGCAAATGTTTTACCCTCTAAAGGAACACAGAAAAATACACCCTTCGACTCCCCTTCACCCTCCTGTAGAAGTGAAGCCCACAAGCTAAACAGAGTTTATATCAAATTATCAATGGGAAAGCCACATCTAGGCTCTATGCTAACGAATCAGCTATTGCAACATGACACACTATCTGTGCGCCTGTTGCAAACGTCGGGATCCTGCGCTTCCATAGAGACTGTCTAGAGCATTAGAACAGCGTTGCAGGCTCTCCGCCTCCCTATTAGCCAGCACACCAACTTCCCGTTGTACACATCCTGCTCCGCATTCTGAGCT